ACAGTCTCTTTTAATATCACTATTTATAATATTTGGAATAAAACATGCACAAAAATGAGAAAGACATTTGGTTTTTGTCTTATTCTTCTTTCATACCTCACAGCATTTAATTGTGCTAGATAGGTAGCAGGGTCTCACCTGTCAACTGTTAATAGAGCTGGAGACATTATAAACTGTTTCTGAAATTAACATTTAGATTCAATTATTTAAGATCCATTTTCTACAGTGAAAAGAACTTGTCACATTAAAATAGGATGTGTCATAATTTTCAATACTTGTTTATAGCATGTAGATGTACACTAAATATAATTTAACCTTTTCTCTTTTCAGAACATTTTCCTCTTATCACTCAAAATTCATAGAACAAACTGACAGAAAAAATTGCTGGAGATTACTCCATGTTGAATTGGAAAAATTAACTTTTAAAATAATGATAAGAGCAATTGCTTTTATGTTTAATTTTGGAATTAAGTACATCTTTACTTAAAAAGTGTACATTGTTAAGAAAAGTGATGAGATTATAACTGTAATCTCATGCTATTAATTTGCTATGTATTCCTACCATTATTTCTTAGAGTGGGGTTAGTGGTGGTGTTGAAATTTATACCAAGTTATTTGGCTTTCATGAATATTTTTCCTAATTCTATGGGAGCAAAAGAGAGCTCTGGATGGAACAGGTCTGTGAAAGTATTTAAAAGGTTTTCACTAATATTCTATGGATAATTTTTGTTTTTTTAATTTTCTATCAAAATAGTTTAAACCAGTGAGGAGAAATTCATGATTAACTGCTTTTTATTCCAAAAGACACAGGAAAATGCACACTTTGCTTGAACTGCTCTAATATAATATCCTTCCAGAAGAATTTCATCAACACAACTTCTTCTTAGTAAGACAGAGTGGCTCTCTATGCCATTGGAAGGAAAAGTAATGGCCTATTCCTAGATAAAGCATATTATGATCTGAGTAAGGTATAGACATAATAATTTGGTAGCCAGTGGTGCTGGAGATGGATGTTTTACAGTGTTACTACATGGGAAGGCAAATGTTGATTGACTGGTTGTCTAGAACATTCAGATATATTATTTACGTATCATAGAGTGGAACAAAAGGGATGATAGTATTTGTGTGTTGCATAACTCAATTTTTGGAAAATTATTTCTAACACTGTTACACTTAAGCTAGGAAAGAGTTTTGTTACATTAGAGAAAGCAATATTTGAATAAAATCCAAGATTTAATCAACTTTTAGGGATTCCTTTGTTAAGTATATTAGTTAATTGGAAAATCACAGCCTATAATGGGCATCAGGCTTCTCAAGTCTCTAATGAACTCATGTTACCAGCATGCTTGGAGAATTTTATAAAGATAAGTACCTTTCAAAGTTATATACACTCATTAAATCTTAGTCAAATTTTCATTCCTGGGACTCAGTGTCTGACATCCACAAATTAATAAAGGAGAGGTTCATTTTGGCTTATGTTTTATAAGTTTCAGTCCATGTTCAGTAGACTTACGCACATAAATGTCATGGGCAGAGGGGCCTGGATGAGGGAAAGCTGCTCACAGCATGAAAGCTGGGAAACAGAGAAGGAAGAGAGGAACATATTCCCTACCAGCTCATATTCCCAGTGATCGCCTCTTCCAAACATACCCTAACTCCTGCATCACATTTAGCTATTGCACCATCGTAAGCCAATCATCTTCCAAAAGCTCCACTTATGAGTGTACGAGGCTTTTGGAGGACATCTAAATATCAACCATAACAAGCTCATTGTATTTGTTTTTCATGAGTTTACCGGAAATGTTAGTTGATGATCAGTAGTGACTTATTTGTTTAATTGAAACTGAAAAATTTCCATTTCCTCTCTCAGAAGCCATTGATAAATAATACCCCATGCTTAATATGTGATGGCCATTGAGGTGATCCAGTCAAACTACAAAATTGAGATAAAACCTTTTCATTTGAGCATGCACTTTTGTTAATGGCCTATTTGTAAAGAAAATTAAGTAAACATTTTAAAGCACATAAATGCTTATTATCAAGTTACCTATGGTTGATAGTATTTTCTTGATATCATCTGGTAAATCATTAAATAATTGTCCTTTTGGTCAACGTAAAGTATGTATTATTTCACACCATTCTGTTTCTTAAAAATTCAAATGGGCCTCGTATCTATAGGAAACTCCTCTGACTATTTTATAATTTGATGAATTGCTGAGAACTCTGTAAATGCAGCAGTAATTTGTCTCTGCATTGTGAACTTGATTTAGTTTTATTCTTTTTCTCATAGGCATTCTGAAATATTTATGATGAGGCACATTGGTAATCTGATGTGCAAGTCCTGTGAGAAACAAAAGAACTAATTACTAGTCAATTTACAACCACTGACACATTCTTCCAAATTCTGTTTCTGCTTTTAAAAGAACCGAAATAATAGATAAAATAATAATCTAAACTTAATGGTTTAAAAATCCTATATTGTTTTCTTTCTCAGTCCTTGCACATTTCATCATAAATCATTAACTTGATCATGTTAGTCATTTTGAACACTTGTATTGAACATCTGCTCTGGTTCCAGAGGAATTAATCAAGCAATGTTCAAGATAATAGATTTGGCCTTGATGATCAGGTGTTTCATATGCAAGTGTTCCCAGAAAGCATATTTTAGTTATTACATTCCAGTAAGTAACGAGAAGCCAATTGTGGTAAGTACTTTAAAATTATGTTTTACATATGATATGTATACAAAAAATTGACTAATAGAGGAGTGCCATTTCAATTGACTTTGGTGTAAAAATCCTTTGAATTTGTCAAATTAACATATTTTATTCTCATTAAAGGATTTTATTATGAGTTATAAGGTCCAATTCTTTTGGGAGTTTTCATCAGGTAGTTTAGTTCTTAGTACATTGTGCTTTCTGATGAGATTATGTTCCCAAACTAAATGGGTTAAGTGCATTTTTAAAACCAGTTATTTTTCTGGAAGTATAATTTATTATATGCTGAGAAATTTTCTGAGAGAAATAGAAATGCAAAAAATTATAAAAATTATTAATATGAGTATAATTAATGCTAAAATTCTACTGCAAAGAAAAGAATACATCTTTCATAATATTTTTATTATTCTTTTAGTATTAATCAGGTACATAAAGATATACTTAATGAATTACTACTATATGACAAAAGTATTAATAATATGTTGACTACTTATTTAACTACAAACAAATGCTTTGGTAAGAAAAATTCTGAGAAATTACATATATTAGAACATAATGTTACATGTAAACATTTGTTTTCCATGTGAAACTTTCTTATACATTGGTTTATATTTTTAAATTTTATTTTTATTTTATTTTTTATTTTTTTTGGCACTGGAGATCAAACTCTGGACCTTGTGCTTGTGAGGCAGGCAGTAGAACCACTGAGGTAAATCCTTGGCCCAATACATTGGTTTTAATTGTTGTACTCCCAGAAACTCATGTTTTAGTTTAATCCTTAATTAAACAAACATTTACTGAATAATTTATATCTATATTTGTTTTTATCAGCACATTACTTTTGAACAATTTCTTCAAATTGCAATTTAAGGTCTTTTATCTTTGAAAATGTGTATTTAAAGAAATAGAGTTTAACTACAAATATTCATTTAAAACAATAATAAATAATAATGCCATAGCTTAGTTTTGGAGAATATTTGACTACTTGTAGTCTTTGTATCTCATCCTTGTTCTTAACAGATTTTAGCTCATTTATGTGCCATGATGGCACTTCTAATGATCTGGAAAACACTCTAGAAATGTAGCCCCCCATTTATTTAAGGCTAACTCACTACTCTGAAGGCTTGCAACTTAATCTCCAGTGAAGATTTAGTTCTTACTAACCCTTTACTCCTACCTACTAACTACAGGTTATTAACATGTTATTTGTAAAGTATAATTAGTATTACTAAAATTTATGAGACATCAGAGTTATCTATACTAAGTATGAAATAACACAAAACTAATTCTACTCAAAGTATATAATCAAATGATTATATGTCCTGTAATTTTACTGGAGGACACTTTAATATTGTGTTTGTCTTGTGAATTGGTTATGGTTTTCAATTGCTGCTATTCTTACAGTTGTTAATTATGTTGTCAAATTATTCTATTCAGCTAGCTCTGATGGCACATGTCTGTAATTCAGCTATTTGGGTGGGGGTGGGGGGGTTCAGGCAAGAGGACTGGACGATTGAGACCCTGTCACAAAAAAAAAGAGGGCTGGGGATGTAGCTCTGTGATAGAGTGTTTCATAGAACGAGCACTACCTTGAGTTCAATCCCAAATAGATGCCAAAAATTCTTTAAATTTTAAAATTTCTTTCTCCTTTGTTATCATTAAATCATTTCTATTTTATTGCTAGTGAATTTCTTTGCAGTTTTCTGCACTTCTTTTTCCTTCCTTTTGAAAAGTAAGAGGTAGGCTTTGGATTATTTTTTCCCTATGAAAGTGAAATTCCATATAGTATGAGAAAAACTGCTGTAAGAATATTGGCCAATTATTCAATTATTTTTAGAATACATTAACATCCTAACATTTCAGGACCAAAATCACACTGGGATTTTTTATTCCATTTCTGTTCTTGATTGATAAGCCACTTTAGAGAAGCCTGTATAAAAGTTTCCTTTGATAATCAGAATTACAGTTATCCCATTGAAATCTATGGAAAAAGATAGAAAATGTAATGTGTAGCTGTTTAAATATATTATTGCTGTTGATAACATTCCATGATTATTATTTCTTCCTTGATTTTAAGAAATTTCAAATATATTGTGTACTGATTCTTGAAGAGACAAAAACACCACTAGCATATTGACTATTTCTCATTTTAGATGATACTTAGTCAAACAACTGGAATTGCATAGAATCTTCTTGCTAATGTATTCTTAAAGTCTTCTGTTAAGCTTGGGATCTATTTTGAAAACTAATATATTTTAAATTAAACAATGTACAGAGGTCAAAATGGATAAGATCTTGTTGTGGAACCTCCTGTTGTTTTTTTCTGGAAGTCAAGCCTCAAGAACCTTGGCTCAAAAAAATGCCGAATTTGCAGTGGACCTTTATCAAGCAATTCGCTTATCTCAAAAGAACAACGTTGTATTTTCTCCCCTTGGAACGACTTTAGCTCTTGCAGTGGTACAACTGGGAGCAAAAGGAAAAGCACAACAGCAGATAAGACAAACTTTGAAGCTTCAGGATGCCGCAACTGGTGAGAGTCTTATACTTGATTATTTGCAGCAGATGAGATATGGTTCAAATTTGTTTTTAAAGTATTAGAAAGAAGCTCGGGTTCATAGAATTTGAATAAGTGAAAAGTATTGTTGGAAATACAAAATCATAATAAAATGGAGAATTGTAAATGTAGTTTTCACTCATCCATAATAGTTTCCCAAATAAAATGTAACAATAACTCACTAAGACATTAATATCTATAAAGATATAACATTTTGTGTATTTATATTGCCTTTTGTTTGTTTTTCCTAATGTTAATTAAGATTATGTCATGTTTGCATTTGTGTGCATAACACATAAAATATGTCCATTTTCTTCCACTGACACTTTGTTGAATCAATTTCCCATATCATGCAACTTATTCAGAATACGTATGATTTTAAATTATTTTATTTTATTTACTCTTATAGAAACACAATTACTTACTCAACACTTCTGCAGTATGTTGTTTCTAACACTTCTCTTACAAAAATAATGCACTCACATCCACAGTATGACCAAGTAAAAGCACTAATTTATGCATTTTAAGAACTTACTTAATATTTTCATAAGAAATTTTTAGGGAAAAGCATTTAAATGACCCAGTAAATGTCTTGTTGCCTACAGGTAGTGATGATTTGGAGTCACTCAAAGGCCTATCTAGGATATGAATCCCAGGACTGGGATGTTATACTTTCTGACATATCATTAACAGAGTTGTCGACCAAATCCCTGGACATTCTCATACTCTCAATTCCCATAGTAGTTTAAAGTTTAAATTGTGCATCACTATCAGATATTATATCCTAAACATCAGAGGAAACATCTGGATTTTTTGATTTGGTAATTTAGTTGCTATAGCTATAACTAATTTCTGTATATTTGCCTTAGTGCAGAGAAGCTGTAGATAGGAGTTTGTTTTTCTGAAAATACTGTTTACAAGTTTTAAATTGCTTCATTTTAAATAAAGACAATTTTATATAGAAAAGAAGCTGGAGATAAGTTAATTGCAAGGGTTTTCCTTTGTGAATAATGTATAATGAAGCTACTATATTCCAGATTTAGTCTTGATTAATTTCAGCAAATCTCACTCCACCACTCCCAGAAACATTAAATCATATGATATTGCTTTGAAAAGTGATGGAATGTTTATGAATACATGTAAAGCTGATTCCACAATAAGCTAGCAAAATTAGAGAGCTTCTGATAACTAAATTCCTTTAAATGGATACATCATAGACTGAAATACAGAAGTCTTAATGACTGTGAATTGTAAACAAAGTCATCATCATATTACTAATGTATCCTCAAACATATATGTAGTACATCAACTATTGCATTATGTGCTTGATATATATTAAATCATTTAATATTTATAATTACTCTGTGAGGTAAATATAACTCTGCCATACAGACAAGAAAACTGAGGGAAAAGGAAGTTAAATAATTTGGCCAGAACTAATTGAAAAAATGATTTAGTGAGCCTTATAGGTAATAAGAACAGTAATGAAAAATGTTATCTTTTCTTTGGAAAAGTATATATGAATAATCAGAGGTTAAAGCTTTAATACATTTAACAAAATCTACCCTGAGAGTTCTCAGCTATGCTTTGCTAAGGGATGGAGATGGACACAGACGCAGGATAAGTGCTAAAGGAAATCAAAGTCACAAAGGGAGAAAATAGGAAATGTAAAAGCTGGAAAATAAAAAGAAGAGAAATAACAAATAAAAGGAAAAGAGAGACAAGTGGACTGCAAGGAAATGGAGAAATGCCCAGGCAGTCTGCCAAGAAGAGTAGATAGACTCTAGGATAAAACAGAGTAGGACGGATCAGAAGACAATGCCTCGCAAAGTCAGAAATACAAATCCTGTCTGTATTTTAAATTATGATAGTTTATTCATCACAATTTTTGTGTAAATTTTGATTTAAAAATATTGCATTGAAATATTAGGTATCTGTATTATTGAGGGTTTTCTTAGCAACTCTGTAAATTTCATGCCTAAGATGAGTATCCCATTCATTTACCTTGTTACTGGCTCTGCACTTATTCCTCCATTAATTTTTCAGAAGAATACCTTTGAATCAGTCCTGATATTGTTTTCCTTGCTTTCAACCTATGGTTCCTGAATGCCAAATCCTGGCTTATTCTATGAGAGCCTACAGTTGAGCACACAACTGTTGGCCTCTTAACACCACTAGGACTTTTTGTGTCCTCAATTCTCCTTCCTTTTCCAATGTCAAAAGACCTGCTGAATGTACCTTTTCCATTTTGTGGAACATCAGATAATTCTTCATTTTGCTTTGTGTCCAACAATGCTGCTGACTAAACAGAATTTAAATTGAAGATGCTTCTTTATTCTACCAGGGTTATGAGGAGAGTTCTGGGGCCAGAGACATAGATCAATGAAGGAACATTTGCCTTGCATGTGTGGGGCCCTGAGTTCAATCCCCAACACTGAACATAAGCTGAAAGAACTGAGCATGAATTTCAGTCCCAGCTCTGCAATGAAATGACCTTGTGATTTGGTACAAGTTTTCTTATCTCTCTGGATCTCAGATTTCTTTCGGTAGAAAGAGGGGTATAAATTAGGGGATTTACATGGAACTTTTAGCTGAATCTGACTGCCCTTGTTTTCATCTTTGCATCTCTCATATGCACACAAAACCGGCCTTTGGATTCTTAACAGCAGAAGGGATCCGGTATCAAAATTGTAGAACATTTTGGTTTATAAACAAGAAAAAAGCCATCTGTTCCTCCTGATTTCTAAGTTCTCCATGGCTCTGTTTATGAAAATGAAATGAACTTGCTCTTATTGCTTATTAGGGACCTTTCATATGTATTCTTTTCAATCTGTGCCAAATGAGGTCAGTAATCTGTAAAGTAAAGCAAATTCATACAGATAACTTTTATTTTCCCCCAAATGTGTTCCTTGGTGAAATGTTTTCACTGACTTCTGAGACAAGTGATTTATCGAAGGGCAGCTGTTTGTCACAGAATCTTAGGCCCTAAGTACATGACATAAGTCTATTTGTCTTGACAAATGAATTAGAACTATTGTTTCTCCACCTCTCTCTCTTTTTTTCCCCCATTAAATTTATTGGTACATTTTAGGTATAAAATACAGTTACATACATCATTGGGATCTTGTACCATTACATGAGTATCTTGGTTCTTATCTTTTCCCCTTCCCTTGCACTCCCTTCATCCCCCCACCCTTCCCTATTTGCAAAGACCTTGTTTCCATTTTTTTCCTTTTCTCATATTTTTTCTTTTCCCTTTTTTCCTTTCCCCTACCCCTCCCACTTCCCATGCTCCTTTAGAACTTTTCTTCCTGTTACACAATATCAATTATACATTTTTT